CCCCAAAACCCCAAAACCCCAAAACCCCAAAACCCCTTCTCAAAAAATTTACCTGAAAGTTCCATTAAATTTATTTAAAATGAATAGCAATCAGCACATAATCACTGTGGAGCCTCAGGCTCCAATCGTGGTTGATTTAGAGGCCTCTTCTGACAAAGTTGAGGCCAAGAACACTGAAATTAAGTATAAGAAGGATTACAGTCAGAAATTCCTTGATCTGGCAAGTAAGCTAATTCTTAGTGAGATTTTAGAAGAGAATCAGCCTACTATGAGAGAGCAAGCAGCACAAGAAGAGGAGAAGGTAGGGATTTTTGTGGGTTTTGGAGTTGACAAGGTGCTTTGGGCAGATCGTGATCTTTTGTTAGAAGCAGGATGATCAGGAAGAGGGTTTGAGTAGAAATACAGATGAAGAGATGGAGAGCGATAATCAGTCGAAAGAAACTCTTTGTAGTGATGTTACATCGAACTCGATGAATGCTGAGCCTGCTTTGGGTATGAGGGATGGAGAGGAGAATGCTCAGATGGAGGATAATGGTACTGAAAAGTAAGATATCTTGATTTCCCAGAATTTTTTGAGTATCTTTGAAGCATCATTTTTGAGTCAGGATGAATCTTTAGTTCAAAATTTTTGATAGTGACTTTTTCTAACTTTATATCTAGCATCATCACTAACCAAGAGTCATCACCAACATCTAATGCTCTAAAGAAAAGCTCAGGGAGTTGGAATAATGGTACTTATCCTTAATAATTTCTTCTAACTTATTTTTACAGATGACAATGAGGATGAATCTATGGCAAGTGAACATCCGACTCCTAAATAAGCAAGTGGAAAGCTCTTCAAAATCAGGTTGGAACAAAGACGACGAGAAGAAAGAAGAAAGGTGAGTTCTCCCTCCTAATCTCTAGCTGGAGCAAACAGTCATCTTGGAATGACAACCCAGCCGCTTCCAAATCCTGGGACTCTGGCATCAAAGAAGGTATGCTACTTTTTACTAAGATTTAGGCAACTCTAGTTGGAATGCTTCAGGTGATAGCCCATCTAAGGATACTGGCGACCAATGGGGCAACCAGAGTTGGGGCACTACGAACAGATCCAACAGAAGTCACAATAACAGTGATAGCGAGGACTCTAATAGAAGAGGCCCAAGAGGTTGTGGCCGGGGTAGAGGAAGAGGTCGTGGCAGAGGCGATGGCTTCAGAGGAAGAGGTCGCGGTGATGGATATAGAGGAAGAGGCCGTGGTGATGGATACAGAGGTAGAGGTGATGGCTACAGAGGCCGTGGCAGAGGAAGAGGTGGCTTCAGAGATAGCAATAGTTCAGGGGGCCAAAGCTGGGGGAATTCAGACAGAAGTGACAACTCTAGTTGGAACAATAAAAGCAATGATTCTTGGAGCAATAAGAATAACAACTCCTGAAATAGAGAAAGTGATTCAGGAAGAGGCAACCAAGATACTCAAAACAATACTTGGGGGAACTCTTCTAAAGACTCTTGGAGCAACCAACAAGATGACTCTAATAGTGACAGAAGAAAGTCTTGGAATAATGGAGGCAAAAGATTTGACTACTCTAGCAAGAACAAAGGAGATTCTGAGTCAAGACAATGGAGCAGTAATCAGGATGGATGGGAAGATCAAAACGAATCATGGAATGACAACCAAGATTCTTCTCATTATAAGAAAGAAAAGAGAGGTTGGAATTCAAACTCGAATAATCCTTCAAATTGGAATAATGGAAACTCTTCAGAGGGAGGATACAAAGGAAGAAGAAATACAAATTCTAGTAAGCTTTGTTTAATTTCCCTCTAATTATCTCTAGACTGGAATAACCAAGACGATAAAGATTCATGGAACAATCAGAGTGAGAAATGGGGAGGCTCAGATAGCAAGCCAAGAGGAGGCTTCAAAAAGAAAGACTCAAACTCTACTGATAACGGTTGGGGTGATAAAAATGCCTCAGAAGATTGGAACTCGAACCCCTCTGCTTCCAAAACTTGGGATACCAACCCTACTAGTTGGGATGGTGATACTTCCAAAGGAGGCTGGAAAAATGACTCAGGCAGAAAATCAAGAAAGATATCAGAGGATAATTGGATAAATGACGACAATGAAGCTAAATGGAACCAGAGCAAATCATCCAATGGATGGGGAAATGATTCAAAAGGGAAAGTCTGGAATTCAGATCTTAGTTCAAAGAAATGGGACAATAATGATGAGTCGAACCAAGAGGCCTGGGGAGAGAAAAATGACAGCTGGTCATCAAACAACAATCACTCCGGTGATAATGACAGAGGAAGAGGCTCAGGAAGAGGTAGAGGTTCAAGAAGAGGTAGAGGAGGCTTCTGTGCAGCTGACTATAACTCTAAAGTCACTCAAGAATATTCAGAGGAAGAGCCAAAGCAGAGAAAGGGGCTTCTTGAGGCTATAAGAGAGGATGAATAATAAGGATTGATCATAATTATCCAACATCTTAGTGATTTTTCCTTTCATCTCTCTGGATATTCAAGAAGAGTTATATAAGGCCATTTGATCATTTCAACTGGTCTTTCCACTAAAGGGGTTTTGGGGTTTTGGGGTTTTGGGGTTTTGGGGTTTTGGGGTTTTGGGG